TATCTTATATTTAGTTATATTTTTAATGCCATTCATACATACCTGATTGAATTTACCACTCACCAATGTCCTCACACTCACTATTTGAAAGGTGTCACTCTAAAACACACTTCTAAACCTCTCTGAAAGCCCCTGGCAACTCTAAGAGACACACAGTCACTCTGCAGTAATACCTTCATAGTACCAAAGACTAGATAATAGCTACATGTTTTAAAAATAGTTTCTTGAGACAACCAGAAATCCTAACAACTGCCAGAATAAGAACCCAACTTTAGATCTGAGAAGAAATCCCAAAGCTTCCTTATAAAAAGAAAATTGAATTCACAACTAGAAATGCAGTTTTTAATTAGATAATTCAAAGAGATGTTGCAGACATTTATTTCTTGCTTGTTGAAACTGGCTTTTCTTGAGAATAAAATCCTCTAGTATAGTCATCGGTATTTCAGGCCATGGCCAAGATGTCCTAAGAACCTTCTCCCAGGAGCTCATGCAAGCTGCGGGTTGAGGCCTGTGAGTGTTATCAAAGGTGCTCTCCATTACACTACTTCTCCAGCATCTTGTCAGCAACCATAATGTATTGAGGACTTTCCTTCAGAGCAATTAGAAAAACTCAAAGGAATCACCAAAGAGGGTTGCTGTTGCTATGTTTTTGTCTGTTTTGCCAAGAGGCAAGGAAAACAACTACGTTAAGAGAATTCAAAAGTAGAGATCTGTGAAGGTTAATTTCAGAGTCCCAGTAACCACCTCTCTCCTCTTCCTTGCCTGCAGCCATCCCACACAGCCCCCAAACGGCTCAGCCAGCTGGCTAATGCCTGAAGTTGTAAAATGATAAGATCATTTATGAGTTCATGCTTTGTAAACCCTTGAGAAAAGAGCCTTGCTTTCGATTTTATGAATCATCGGCTCTTCACTCACTTGGCTCCATGAACAACAGTTGTACATTTCAGCCTCAGAGCTGTATCCAGATTGCCCTCATGACTTTATTAATTGATTTAAGGAACTGTTAACACATTGAGAGCCTACTATTGGTCAGAAACTTTTTTTTAGCACTTTAGATTGATCTTCTCAGCTTGTTTTCACATGAAACCAGTGAAGTAAATATTTTTATTATCTCCACTTTGAAGAAGAGGAAATTGAGGCTCACAGTTTAAATAACTTCTCCAGATTCCTCAGTTTGTAATTTGCAAAGCAGAGATTTAGTTACTAGAACATTGGATTGGAGTTGGCATTTTCAACCAATATGGTATCCTGTATTTCTTTTCATCAGAATCATGAATTTGATGGAGCAGACATGGAGGTGCCTGTCTGAAATCCCAGCATTTTAAAAGCTGGAGGCAAGAAGATTGCAAGTTCAAACCCATCCTGGGAAACTTAGTGAGACACAGTCTCAAAATAAAAAAGGGCTGGGGATGTAGTTCAGTGCAAGGCATTGGGTTCGATCCTTAGTACTGAAAAAAATTATTGTTTCATGGGCATTTTTTTCAAAAATTGATATCCATATATAGGAGTTTTTGTGTTCCCCAGTCAAGTACATAATAATGGGTATCATACCTTGTGTGCATAAGAATATTTTAGTTGAGTAGACTGGATTCCACACATAATTTTAAAAAGTCAAAATAGAAAGCCACTGGTAGGGGAACCTTTGTTTTCCAGTGAACTTGTTTGTGTGTTAAACATTATACTTCACTCTGTGGTATTTTCTGGTTGGCACAACAACTGGCATTTAAATTGATTCTCTTATCATGATAATAATGACAAGGATGAGCCCAGTTGAATGGGTTCCTGCTTTGTGCAGAGCTCACAGAAGCCTTTTCCAGAGATCCAACAAGGCTTGTATAGTCTCTGTGGATAAATAGCATCCTTGGTGTGGAATAAAGGAAGTCAAGGAAAAGACAGAAGAGTCTCTGACCAAACAGAGGGAAAATTCCACTGAAGTGGAATGCTGTAAATGGCAGAACCTTATGCATCCAGAATGAGAGGGAAACGGGTGTTTTTGTTCCCTGAGTAGGTAATTGAGAACCAAGTAAGAAAATGAGTATTTAAACTAAAACTTGTACATGCATGTTAACGGATGCTCTAATAGCCTAAAGGTGGCATGAACTCAAATCTCCATAAAGAGGAGAATGGATAAAAATAACGAAGTATAATTGTACAGTGGAACATTATTCAGCAGTGAAGCACTAATACATACTGCAATATGGGTAAACTTTAAAACACGGTAGCAGTGAAAGAGTCCAGGCATGAAAGGCCACAGAAGTGTGTGATTCCACTACTATGAAATATCCAGAATAGGCAAATCCATAGAGACTTGAAACTAAAACAGACTCGTGGTTGGCAAGGCTGGGGAGGGGAGGATGGGAAGTGACTGCCCAGTGGGTGTGGCACTTCCTTTTGGGGTGAGATGAAAATATGCTGAAACTAGATGAGAGCTGATGGTTGCACTTAATGCCACTGACTTGTACACTTTAAAATGGTACATTTTATTTTATGAGTATTTTACCACAGTTTTAAAAAAGACAACCAAGGGAGTTATAGTTGACTTGAAAGTTCCCTGGGAAACAAGGGTGTTAAATCCCCCCAAAGAGGAATACTAACAAAGAGGAAGAGGGGATCCTCTGTTGACAGGGAGAAATCAAAGGGAATGGTGGTTCTGGGCTGTGAGGTTGCTGATGGCAAAGCCTGACTTCAGCACTTTCTGGAGACTGTGTTTATGTTGTGGTGAGGCTGATGTAAGGCTGACTTTAAAATCTGAGAGCTCAGGGTTGGTCTTCCTCAGCTCAGAGGATGGCACTGACTACAGGAGGAAGCCCAAGGGCCTGCATACAAAGTCACAAGGTCCAGTGGTGGCCTGAAGAAGCAGGAGCTTGCACCCTGGCTTGGGGCATCACCACAATCATCCGAGGTGGGGAGCAGCTGTCCGTTAGACAAGTCTGCACTCTTCATGGTGACCCCTCCCTGGGCTTCTAGTACTCATTCTCTGAAAATGCTGGGTACTGCAGGTAGGAAGGCTTCTGTGTCTGCTTACTTTGTCATGCCCCTCCCCATAGCTGAAACACCAGCTCCTAACTGTCAGACCAGCAAGCAGATCTGATAGAGTTGTGGGCTCACTGCCTAGAAAGGAACACTGACTTGGCATGTGGTATGTGACCTTCCAGGCTCCATGTCCTAATTCCCATATAGATAACTGTTCTCTCAAACATTGAATGCCTCATTTTAAGTGAATGGATCTAGTCAAGTAGGGAAACCCCAAAGTGGCTATTTTTAGTAGCTAATCCAAGGAGCTGAATGGCCCTGCCACTGCGAAATAAATAAGAAAACAGAGCTAAGGGGGTATTACTATGGGCAACTTCTTTAGAAAATGTGCTGTTCCCTTTCTCAAGATGTCCGCTAGCACTCTTTTAATATTTTACATTTCAGAATAAAGTTAACACACTTATACATATATACAGTCAATCATGTCTGGTATTGGAATCTGTTTTTCAAGGAGCAGTTACTTAGGCAAGTGAAGAGACAAAAGCATGAATTGACCCAGGGAGGAGCATGAGATGACATGGGTTTTTGTGCCCTCTAATGCTTTCTACCTTGATTTCCTCTCAGTTGCCCAGGGCCACTTCATACCTCTGCACAGGTTGGCATTGCTTCTTGGAACTCCATCCCATTCTACCCCTTTCTCCCCAAGGCCAACTCAAGTTAATTCTCCAAAACTCAACTCTAGAGTCATTTCCTGCTTGAATATTTTTTTTCTTTTTCTTTTTCTTTTCTTTCAGCACTGGGAATTGAACTCAGGGAGTACTGATCTACATTCCTTTCCCCTTTTGGGGGACAAGGTCTCATCAGGTTGCCTAGGCTGGCCTCAAGCTTGCAATCTTCCTGCCTTAGCTTCTCAAGTAGTTGGGATTACAGGTGTGCACCATTGTGCCCAGATCATGAAATATTTCTTGACCACTCTGGTCTGGTTAGATGCCTTCTCTGAGCTCCTCCTGACTCACCAGTAGCCTTACTCATACCACACCTTGTTGGTCTTATTCTTGTGTCTCTTGCTAGACTCTTAAGTTTCTTAAAGGCAGCTGGAGCCAATCTGCCAAAGTGTGAGTCCCAGCTCCACTGCTTCCTAGCTGTGTGGCTCAGCGAGCTAAGTAAAGTTCACTTTCCCAACTGCAAAATGGGGATGATCATTCTTGCTTGTTTTGGTTATTAAAATTTGCAAAATACCTAAACAATACCTAGAACATACATAGTCAATAAATAAATGAGCTATAATAAAGCAAGTGTAATTATTATTACAACTATTAATCTTTTCTCCATTCCCAGGATCTATTACAAATGAAGTAGGCACTCTGCCAGTTGGTATGAAATGGGGTTTGGGTTAATATGCTCAGGGTGGTTGATCTAGAACTATGCTGTGCCATCAAGCAGCGACCAGCTCTTTGTGTACTGAGCACTTGAACCGCAGCAGCTAATCCAAACCACCCCATGTGCTGGAGACCTACGTCTAACACAGAACGTGAAATACTTTATGATAACTTTTACACTGATTCCATATTGAAAGGACAAGCTTTTGGATATTTTAGGTTAAATAAGATACAATCTTAAAAATAATGTCTGCTTATTTTTATTTTTAAAATGAGATTGTAAGGGAATTTAAAGTTATGACTATGCTATTTTTCCACAGGATGGTACAGATCTAGAATGTCCCAAACCTACTATTACTGGAGCAAATCTTTGCACAACCCCACTTACACTCAAATGTGATGTGAATTAGAGGGGTATAGGTAATTCATTTAGCACAGTGATCTGTTGAGAATCAAAGGTGCATCCAGCAGGTGGAGGTGGGGTGCAGCGGTAGAGCACTTGCCCAGCATGACAAGGCCCTGGGTCAGAACCCACAATAGCGGGATAATACCTCCAATCAACTCATAAAGGCTTTTGCATGCAGGGTGAATAAGTTAATATGCACAAGTATGTAAAAAAGGGACTAAAGCTTTCTGGGGATTTTCCAGGTTCGCTGTGATCCTGAGATTCAAGAATTGCGTCAGTGGCAGAAGAAGCTCTGGGAAGACAAGCACATTCACCAGAAAGTACAGATGTTCTGGGCCAAACAAGAACAAAAAGGTCAGTTGCTTGGTTCACAGCTTTTAGCTTATTCAGGAAAAGCCTGGTTCTTATTCCAGGCTCAAGAAGGAACCCCTCTGAGGTTTCAAAATGTCCTTGTAATTTGCACAGAGCTGAGTCTGTGTATGGGGGAAATGACTGTGTGTTAAGATTCTGCTGGGGAATTACAGTGCTGATATATTTTACATGGCCACTTCCTTCCCTCGAGGATGACTTCAGTGTCACCTTCTATCTACAAGTTTTTATTTTTTACACTATGTGACATCGAGAATAATCCATTATTTTGAAAACATGGTGTCTATCAATATGAGAGGTAGTTACTCTTCCAATTATTGATTGTGTGCCTGAATATAAATGGTATTTTATGCTGTCTTCTCTTTGGGGAATGCTAATTTTATGCATCAATTTAACTAGGTTCCTGGATATCCAGAAAGCTGGTAAATTTTATTTCTGGGTAAAGCTGTGAGGATGTTTGAAATATGAATTTGAATCTGAATTGGTGGACTGCGCAAAATGGATAGCTCTCCCCTGTGCGGGAGGGCCTCATTTGATCTGTGATCAGTGAAACAAAAGGCCAGGAAGTTTGAATGAACTGTTCTTGACTTCTGAAACTGGAACACTGATCTTTTCCTGCCCTTAATGCTCCTGATTCTTGGGCTTCCAGACCTAGGCTGGGATCTGTACCACTGGCTTTCCAGCTCTGAAACCATTGAACCACACTGCCAGTTTCTCTCAGTCTCTAGCTTGCAAATCACACATAGTCTGGTCTCCATCATCTTGAAACAGTACCTTACAATGAATCTCTTCCTTATATCCAATATTTAATCTATCTGTCTGTCTGTCTGTCTATCTGTCTATCTCCATCTATTGGTTCTGTTTCTCTAGCAAACTCTAATACAACTTTATTTTGAGCAATTGAAAATATATACACAAAGTACAAAGAATAATATAACAAGTATCCATAATCTGTCATAGAGAAGGGTTAAACTGTTCTCTTGTTTGCCTTCATTCTTTTTAAACTTTAAGTAACTACATATCCACCTTAAGAAAATTGGGAAAACAGAGGCCAAAAAAGAGTAAAAGTCAGAAATATCACCATGATTAATATTTTAATGTTTATCCTGCTGTGTGCCAGTTCAATAGAAAAAGATACAGTACAAACATACATGTATATATTCGTATTTTATTAAAATTGGAGTTATGCATATATTCTGTTACATATCTACTGTTTTAAAATTCTCTGAATATCCTTCTGGTTACTAATGAGACAGCAGTATCATGATATGTAACTGCTGTGTGATATAGATTTAGCATCATTTAGTTAACCAACAATGGGCAAGGAGATTCATGATATATTTTCAAGTGAAAAAAAACCAAAATGGCAGACTATGTTTACATCCATATTTAAAAATACATACATGCAAATTGGAATATCTAAATAGTCTGGAAGAAAATAGATGGTATTTACCTTTGGGAATTCAGACTAGATGAAAGTTAGTGTCCTGTTGGAATCTTTTAAATAAACATACAGTACTTTATAATTATGAATACTTACAAAGTATTTCTATGAATCTCAGTGGACTGTAGGCCATCTGGACTTTGCATCCTCATCACCCGGCTGTCCCGGGCCTGCTGTCCCTTAGTGGGCTGCAGTCCTAACCACCCAGGCCTTTTTCTGTCCTTGCGATGTAACACATAAGAATCCTCACTTCAGGCTGCTGTAGTTTCTCTTCCTTTCCATCACATCACCCTTCCCAGCTTTTTTGTGGCTGTTCTGTTTCATACTTTAGAAGTGGGTCAACATCTCCTTAGAGAGAGCATCCCTAGCTACACTGTCTAAAGGGACAAGGAACTAAGTTTATTGAGAGACTTCAAGATGGAACGATCCAAACAAAAGTTTCATTTTCTCTCTAGAAACTTCCCTCAATCCTGCTCTCCTTAATTTCTCTTCAGTCCCATAATGGCATATTGGGTGAATTCCATGTGTTTTCTGTAATCTCTGATTTCATGAAATTCAGTCTAATTAAAGCATCTTTTTTTGGGGTGGGGTCTTTTTGCCTTTTGAGACGGGGTCTCACTATGCAGTTCAGGCTGGCCTTGACCTCACTTTGTAGCCCAGACTGGTCTCGAACTCGTAAGGATCCTCCCACCTCAGCCTCCTGAGTGCTGGGATTACCGGCGTGAGCCACCATGCCCAGCTTCCTAATTAAAGCATCTTAATCTCAGATCTAGTTTACTGCTTGGGATAGTGAGAGAACTAGTGTATCTTTTATGACTCCAGCTCTTACTCCTCTGAATCTGTTCTCTTATTTATTTGTTTGTTTATTTACTTTTGGTACCAGGGATCAAACTCAGGAGCTCTCACATGCCAGGCAGGCAGTGGTATCTCTGAGCTAATCCCCAGCCCCTGTTGTTTCTTTTAAATGTCCAAATTTTGATCAGTGTAAGGTTCAATAAGAAATCACCTTATCCTTAAGACACATGCTAAAGCATTGAGGAGTAAAGGAACATGATATGCAGCTAAGTCATAAATGATTCACAAAAAATATGCAGTGCACACACTGTGCACACACAGAGAATAGAATGCAAATGTGAAATACAAAAATTGACAAATCTAGCAGTTCTTGGTGCAGTTACTATACCACGACTTTTCTGTAAAGTCACAATTATTTTCAGAGTTTTAAGTTAAAATTCTAGCGATTCTAAGTTAAATTCTAAGTTAAATCTCTAGTGATTGAGACTGTATAGCTTTGGGATGAGATGATGGGACCAATGGTAATACAATGGTTCCCAGCCTCTGTAAAATGTGGTGTCCTTTAGCCCTCCAGTTCCTGAGCTCTGGATAACAGGGTGAGTCCTGCTGATGAGTTACTATACACTTGTTCTTTATTTCCTTGGCAGTTATTTGTGTTTCCCACTGGAGGGTAAGCTTTGTGAGGACAAAGACCTGCTTGGCCTGGTTTACCCTCTAAAACAGTGCCTGACTCAAAGTGAACGTCCAATAAAATTTCAACAAATATTTGAATGAGTGAATGAATGAAATAATGGAACTATGAAGCTTCAATGAGTTGTTACACACAAGTGCCTGGTGCAGAGTAGAAAGAGCACCTTGCCTGGGGTGTCTCTCATAAATAAGCAGCTTGAGCAATTTTTGCTGCTTGACTGGCTCAGTGCAAGCCTCTCTTCCACACTCAACTGCCCTCAACCACTGTTTCATTTCACTTTCAAACTGGAAGACAGTCAGGGCTGTAATCAGCTTAAAGGTCAGGGGAAGTACAACATAGCCATTTATTGCTGCTATTCTGTATTCTTTGGAGTTGATTTGCTATTGTTGGCTGATTGATTGATTTGACTTGCTAGGGAGCAGGGAGGGCAAAGCAGATTGAATGTGGTCATCAGCCAGTAGGGGAGCAGAGTACAAACTGTCCTGCTCCACTTGCCTGTGGCTCCGTGACCATGCCACCTTCCAAGGCCCCAAGATGCTTTCTATGCAAGCTATATCTTTAGTAAATGTCCTAATGTGAACCAAGGTATAAAATTTCTATTTCCCCTGAGACTACAAAATGGCCCGTGGACAAATAGCCAGTTCTGATGACTGTCCCCAAATCGGTGGTTAGTTAAGAAGTCACGGGCAGGAGAGTAGCAGTGGTAGAGCACTTGCCTAGCATGTACAAGGCCCTGGGCTCCATTCCCAGTATCACACACATCAGATAATATTAATGAGTAAAGAACCAAGTATTGGAGCTGTCTAGATATGCTTCTGGAATCTGTTTAGATCTAAAATGCTCCCCAAAATTCCCATGTGCTTGAATGATGATTAGTTCGTGAGGGTGCAAGAACTGATTTGCTATTAAGAGGTGGGACATGGGTGGAGGTGGGTCATTAGCATGTGACCTGGAAGGGTTCTTCTTGTTCCTGCTCTTCCCTTTTCTCTCTCTGCTTCCTGGCGGCCACAGGTTGAGCACCTTTTCTACGCCATTGTCCTATTTCTGGTTTGGAGTCAAATGACCATGCACTGAAACTTTGAGCAAAAAAATAAACCTTTGCAATACTAGTATTGTGTTCACCGATGCGAGAGTGACTGAGACAGAATCCTGAGAATGAGAAGAATTGCCATTCTTATCCATGTGTGTCTAAATTAACTTCATCAAACCTCAGTTTCCCATACACAAAATGGGACCAAAATAGTACATGCCTCACACAGTTGTTAAAGAGTTCAAAAAAATTGATTTTTAGAATAAGTTCTACACATAGGTCTCTTAAATGTCAGTTACTGTCACCGTGGTATTAAGATTATCTATGTGCTTCTGGACAATTTTGGGTTGATTTTCCCTGATAGCTGTAAGCTCCATGGGGTTCCATGAAAGGACTGAAAGTTTGTCTTGTTTATCCTGCTACCCAAACTACACACAAAGCCTGGCTCAGAGTAGATGTCTTACTTATCTGTGTGGAGGAAAAAGTTCTGGGAATCATTTTATGGAGGAAGAAATAGAGACCCTAAACAGTGGATGGACTTGCAGCTTGCCCAAAGTTATACAGCAGTAGAAGCCCCAGGACTGAGGGTCTTCGCTTTGTCTGTTCAGGATTCTGATGGATCCCAGGAGAGATTGCAAATAGACATATCCCTAGCCCTCTCTTGCTGGGGCTCAAACCCAGAGCTTTATGTATGCTAGGCAAGCATTCTACTGTTGAGCTGCACCCACGTCCACAAACTGCTTCTTCTCAGACCCTAACTTCTCAGGACTCTTCCTGATTATAACATAGTGTCAGGTTTCTTATTATCTGGGAGTGGGGATTATTGTTATCTAGGAGTGGGGATTATTGCTTCTTGCTTGGTGTTTGCATTGATAAGTCTCTAAGTGGGAGCTGAATTATGCTGAGCAGGGTGTAACTTGGTATTTACCAAGTGAATCAGACCTTTTGGTTCTTTCAGGTATCGCCAAGAGGGAAAGAAACATTTTGAGAAGCTTATGTGCTACAGTGACTTTCTATTTCCAACC